CAAGTTCGAGTTTTTTAATTTGGTCACCCTGTTTTAAAAATAATCAACCTCCTGAGTGTAAGCAATAGCAATTTGATACATGTTTGATGTAGAAATGTCAGAATATTACAGAGGGACAGAAATTGCAAAGTTGAAACCACCCATGCTCCCAGCAGCCCAGAACCCCCCTGACATTGCGCTGTCATCCTCTCCACACAGCATTTTACCATCAGACTGGTCCAGTGTCATACGCTGTGCTTTTCTCGTTATATCTTTCATTTCCCCACGACATTGGATATTATTTGAAAACATGGATTTTAACAGCTTTCAGTTAAATTTACTGACTCATTCAGTAAACTGTTGATGGATGATTCAAGCAGATTCCAATTCCGTTTTGCTATTACAAATACCACAGCAACGAAAATACTTCCAGCTCAGTCTTTCCACAATACTCCAGTGAAATGCCCATAAGAATCATGAAGTCAGAGGATACGGACATTCTTGAGGCTCTTGATACAAAGTTTGCCCAACTGCCCTCCGGAGAGGCTGACAATTTTACTCTTTTACCATCAGAATGTAACTCCTTTCTGCTGCCGGGGACTTGCAAAAGCTGCTGGAGTCCACATAGTTCCCAGAGCTTGCCTGCTAGGTGCCTTACTCTCACCTGCGGGCAGTGCCTACCTCTTGGCACGTTAGGACTGCTCCTGATATGTGTTGGGCTACCTCTCCTATGTGCCCGCCCCTCTCTACCCCACTGACCTGGCCAGTACTCACCTGCACCTCCTCCCTGCGTCCAGCCTCCTCCAATCTCTGTGTTAACAGCTGAATGGTGATGCCATTGTTCTCAATGTGGGCCTGCTGGCTAGAGGCCTCCTCTCCGAGCTGAAGGACCCTGTGGTTGAGCTGAAGCAATTCATCATTGCATTTCTGACTCTAGAACAAAAGGGATGAAATGGATGAAAAAGTTATTTTTTTTTTAACCAACAGCTCAATTCAAATCATTTCAGTGATTCTCAACCAGGAATGCTTTTGTTTCCCAGGGGACATTGATAATGTCTTGAGACATTTTTGGTTACCACCTGTGGTAAGAGGACTGCTACTGGCAGCTAGTGAGTGAGGTACTCAGCACCCTGCAATGCAGAGAATGATCGAGCCAATGCACGCACAGGAAACTCCTCTACCCCTAGGAAAAAGGAGCCACATCTGGAAAACCAGAGGTGGTTATATGCCATGAAGATCCAAACCACTGTTCTGAAGACCTTTCACATTTTTCCCATTTCTTCCAGTTATTTCTAACATTATTTTAAGCAATTTGAAGGAAAAACCCTAAATGAAATTTATAAATCTCCTCAAAATACCCTCTGATCTTTTTCATTAAACACATAAATGCAGCTTTTAGTAGGGTATAGGAATTGATTAAATTGTGTGTTTTGCTTTTTCTAAATAACCACCACCCAGCAGATAGTGGGTACTGAACAAAGTTCATTGGATGGATGTGCAAAGGCACTAAATTGAAACAGCAACTAGGAAGTCCCGCCTTCAGAGTGGGTTAGGGGATGAGGTAGGTAGGCAAGAAGAAGATGGGTATGGTTATAAAAACAACATGAAGTGTCCTTGTGGAATTGGAACTATTTGGTATCTTGACTGGTGGTGATATATGGACCTACACAGGGGATAAAATTGTGTAGAATTTAACACACACAGACACACACACACACACGAGTATAGAAGTAAAACTGGTGGAATCCGAATGCGACCCATGGATTGTATCAATGTCAATAGATTGGTTGTGATATTTGTAATAGGCTGATTTGTGTCCTCCCAAAATTCCTATGTTGAAGCCACAATTCTCAGTACCTCAGAATGTAACTGTACTATATTTAGAAATTGGGTCTTTAGCCCGACCAGCATGGCTCAGGGGTTGAATGTTGACCTATGAACCAGATCACGGTTTGAGTCCCTGTCAGGGCACATGCCTGGGTTGTGGGCTCAATCCCCAGTGCGGGGTGTGCAGAGGCAGCCGATCTATGATTCTCTCTCATCATTGATCTTTCTCTCTCTCTCTCCCTCTCCCTTTTTCTCTGACATCAAAAATAAGTATTTTTTAAAAAATGATGGGGGGCAATAATATATATGTATTTTTAAAGAGAAAAAAATACGGTCTTTAAAGAGGTGTTTTTTAAAAAAAGCCTCTAAAAAAAAGGTGTTTAAGGTAAAAGGAAGTCATTCAAGTAGGCCCTAATCCAATATAATGGTCTCTTAGTAAGAAGAGATAGGACAGACACGAAGCAGGGAAGACCATGTGAGGACATAGATGACAGCTGTCTCTAAGCCATCCGTAAATGATGGTAACATATTATAACCCATTGAATAAAACAGGGCCCTATGTATAAATAAATGGGGAGAAGAGAAAGTTCTTCCTTACACTGGAATACCAAATCATAAAACAAAAGGAATGGCGAGTTTGTCACCAATTGGCCACCATCAGAGTAATAACTGACTCCACCAAGAAACAAACGATGCTAAGGTAAATGGGTGAGAGTTTGATGAAGAACAGAATATTCACATAATATCAAAGTGCCCACCCATACAATGCTCATTCGTTACACAGGGAAAAGTGACTTCACTGTGGAGCAGCCTGGCCAGCACCACTAACCGAGAATTGTTAGTAATGGGACGAATCACTGTCCCCCGGCAGGATGAAATGAGAAGAACACGGTATCATTTTTTATATTTTTATTGATTCCAGAAAGGAAGGGAGAGGGAGAGAGAGAGATAGAAACATCAATGATGAGAATCATTGATCAGCTGCCTCCTGCACGCCCCCCACTGGGGATTGAGCTTGAAACCCGGGCATATGCCCTCGACCGGAATCGAACCTGGGACCCTTCAGCCCACAGGCCAATGCTCTATCCACTGGGCCAAACCAGCTAGGGCTCATTTTTTTATATTCTTACCAAAGATGCATTATCTAAATCTAATCACAAGAAACATCAGAGAAACTAAGCTGAAGAACTTCATACACAGTAACTGCTTGTTATCATCAAAAGTGCCAAGGTCCTAAAAACCAAGGGCGGACTGACAGAAGGGGACTAAATGCCAAGCGGGATTCTAAATGAGGGGCGGCTGGCAAAACTGAACAGGAGGAGACTGAGGCGGGGTCTGTACCACATTCATTTCCTGACTATTGAGGGATGAGGGGGGCGATGGATCAGCAATTCACTCAGATCTTCCAGAAAAACAATTCCCTATTTCCTTTTAGTAAGTTTGAAATGATTTCAAAATAATGAAGGAAAGGAGGGTAGCATTAGCGGCGTGCCAAGTGTCGATACTTGACCTGTTTGTTGAGCTCTTCCATTTCGGAGCAGGCCTTCTCCTTGTCTCTCTTTAAAAGCTCAATTTCCTTCCTGTTGAAAAGCAAAATTAACAATATCACTCTGACCAACAGTTTCTTTTTCCCAGTCATCGCCCATGGCAAGTGATGGCGAACCTTTTGAGCTCGGCGTGTCAGCATTTTGAAAAACCCTAACTTAACTCTGGTGCCGTGTCACATATAGAAATTTTATATATTTAAATGCCATTTAACAAAGAAAAATCAACCAAAAAAATGAGTTCGCGTGTCACCTCTGACACGTGTGTCATAGGTTCGCCATCACTGGCCCATGGTAACCGCAACACCTTCGATCTGTGGCCACATACCACTCTCACACCTGCTCTTGGCACCCAGAGCCACCACTCTGTTCCTACTGTACACTATTGCCGCTGCTGATCCAAGCGGGTCCCAATCCTCAGGACCAGCGGACGCTGCCAGTGTTACAGAACAAAACCCTCTACAACACCCCTCAACTGTACCCATGAATCTCTCTTGGGCACCTCATGCGACTGTTCACTACCAACAGCATAAAGACCCAAAGAGCCCTACATCCACTAAGATCTGTTGTCAAAGGGGGGCTGGCAGTAAATGTAGGGGAAAAATGGTTCCTAGAGTGAAAAAAACCTTTAGATTTCAGAACTGCTATAATGTGATAGCAATCACTTGTTTGCCTACCTGTTCTGGATTCCATATCTTAATTAATCATGGCAATTTAATCAAATCAGTTCCACATTCTCAGCCTTTTAGAGCTGAGCTCTTCTTCAGTTTCAGAGCTAAAAAAAGGCCAACCCACTGTCCTTGGATAAGACGGGGCTACGGGAGTGAAAGCAGAAATCCACCAGCAGGTTTTCTGTGTCCGCCTCACCCCCAACAGACTCACTAAAATCAATAGGCAGAAATGAATCTTGGAGAAAAGCATAGCTGAAACCATTATCAGGACATGAGTGAACATCAGGACATTTTCCTTGCCCACATAGGCCTCGGGGGCCCCACTTACCCCTACAAAAGTACTTGCTGCTCCCTCGCCCTTAGCATAATGTGGACTATTTCTGCAGGGGAGAGACGCACGGGAACACTGACTTCAGAGGTAAGCGGGCCTGTGCTGCAGCTGCTCACTGTGGTGATGACTGTGCTGCATGCTCGCACTTTCTACCCAAACTTCTGAGACCAGATTTTCAGGAAGGAAGGCGTTTGCCAGCATTTGGAAGGAGGCCTGAGCCCTCTCATGCATGTCCAGGCTGGTCAGAGGTCAGCACGGCTTGCCCACTAGGGTTTTCTGGAATGCGGGATCGCTCTGTGAACATCTCCCCTTTCTACAGCAATACTGTCTAAGCTCATTCTACAAAGAGTAACATGTGTCATAGGCTGTAAGTTCTGAGCGAACCAGTGAGACAGGGCTCTTACCTTTGTGCATCATTTGTCCTTTCTGTAGATTCAAGCTCTTGCTGCATTCTCCCCAGCTCATTTTTCAACACTGTGTTTTCTTCAGAAAGCCTATCCAACTTAATTCTGCATGAAAAACAGAAAAGAGGAAGAAGACTGGAAACTCAGGCACTACGTGCCATATGCAGCCCACATCAGTCGGGTCTTGAAGTCGGAAGTCGTGGTAGTCCTGCCGTCTACATTTCCCCTTCTCTAGATGATGGCACAGGACATACTTTTCCTTTTCCTTTCTCTCTATCCAGTTACAACATGCTATAGTTTGCATCTCCCCAGAGAGAAGCTACAGAAAGCAAAGCTTTCTTAGCTTCCAAAATGGTCACACAACCAACAATTCACTAATATATTCAGTACCTTGGTTCCATTTACTCTGTGTTTACAGCTGACCTGTTCCTGCACCTTATAAACTCTAAGTGAAATGTGAGTGTCTGTGGTTGGTACCAATGCACAATATTGGGTGTGAGTCCTCGGTTATTGCAGAGGATATCCGTCCTTCCACCAGTGAACTCCAGCATGGAGCTAAGAAACACAAGGAATAAGAAGATTCAAACGCACGGGCACATTTTCCTCCTTAGGTAGAGTACCTCCCCCTATCCTGTTCTCTGAGGCCACAGCACTGGGAGGAGAAACCTAGGAAGATGCCCACATCGATTATGGAGAGAAACCTGGTATCAGGTGAATTCTTCCAGGGAGAAAAAAGCAAGTATAAACAGCTACTACATGAACCAACTTTATCTAAAGCCACCTTTGCTCTCTGATGACTCTAGAGTCTCTGCTTATATAACACCATCACTGTATGACAGATGAGCAACTTACCAGTAAATACCACAAATGAGGCAACTAAAACCCATACTTGCTGCCCAGAGAATTTATTCCTGTTTTTAAAGCTACATTTTAAAAAAATCCTCACCTGAACATGTCTTTTAAAAAATATGTTTTTATTGATTTTAGAGAGAGAGGAAGGGAGATGGAGAGAGAAGAAGAGAAAAACATTGATGAGAGAAACACTGACCCCCTAGTGGGGATGGAGCCATAACCTGGGCATGCACCCTGACCAGGAATCGAACCAGCGATCTCTTGTTGCATGGGACAATGCTCAATCCACTGAGCCACACCAGCCGGGCCAGAGACTTTATTCTTAATACATGTTGGTCTGGCTGACATTTATTACCCCCAATAGGTCTCTATCTGGCATGAGCTTGTAATGTTTTCAACCTAAAAAGACTCAAAGCCACACGATCTCATTAATGAGACAGTTTACGTATTATGGTTGTAATATCAAGTACCTCTTTCATGGCTTCATTTTATCTCACAAGGAACTAAAGAGAAATATAAAAAAATAGAAATCACTGGAATTTTAAAAGCAGCAAAGGTTTTCAAGTAGGGGAGTGAAAAAAAAAATGAGATCTGTGTTTTGAAACTATCACTCTGGCTCCAGTATGGAAAACAAATTGATTCAAGGCAGGTGTATGTGTGTATAGTGGGGGCGGGGAGGGGGAGGTAAGGGGAGGGAAGCAGGGCATCTACTTCCAGCTTCCTAGATGTCAGATCAGCTGATGGTTGCCCCATCCCAACCCCCACACACTCACCAAACAAGTAGAATCTGTGTGAAGCTGGTCACACAATGTGTGAGTGTTCTCCCTGAAGGTAATGGAAACCACCAAGGGCCCCCAAATAAAACAAAAACCTGGAAGCTGAAACCAAAGCTGTGAGCATTAAGTAACACAAAGCTGGGGTTACCCGAGGCAAGTGCCTATGTCAGCAGCATGGAGACACTGCACAGTGGACAAGTGCATTAAGCCAGTCCCCTAGAAGGAGGTTAACGTGGTCCCAATTAGTAGGCCCCCAATTGTGGGCAAAAGCAATATGCATTCTTCCTGCAGAAAGCACCCTCTACTACAGCTCCCAGGATTTCCAGAGATTAACATCACATAAACAGAAGCTCACAATCAAAAATCACCACAATATACATGGAAAAAGCCACTTATGAGAGTCAGCAGGAGCAAAAACCACAGAATTAGACCCCATAGAAATCTTGGATATTGGAATCATCAGACACAAAGTAAAGATAAGTATTATGGAATGTTTATATAAGTAGAAGATTGAAATTTAAAAATGAACATGAACAAATTATCAAGAGAGTCCAGACAGGACCAAACAGAGTTTATGGAAATAAAAGAAAACCACAAAATTTTTGGAAATGAAAAAAGTCGATGTTAAACACTAAATGGGTTAAATGGCAGATTAGACACAATTGAAGAAAGAATTACTAACCTTAAACACAGAGATATGAAAAAAAGTACCCAGAATGTGACAGAGAAAACAGGATGGAAGATATGAAAGAGTTTAAGAAATGGAAGAAAAGAGAAAAGTTCTAACATCATTTATTTAATTCAAGAGGGTGAGAGGACAGGCAATAGTTTAATAGCTGAGAGTTTTTTTAATATGTTTTTTCAATATAAAGAAAGAAATATCAATGATGAGAGAGATCATTAATTGGCTGCCTCGTGCACGCCACCCACCGGGGATTGAGCCTACACCCGGGCATGTGCTCTACATGGGAATCGAATCGTGACCTCCTGGTTCATAGTTCGACACTCAACCATTGGGCCGGACTGAGAGTTTTTTAAGACACAACTCTATACATTTAATAGGCATAATATTTTAAATAAGATAAGTTAAAAGGAAACCGCATCTATTCCCTATGGCCCAACAATTCCATTCTTAGTACATCCCCACCTACATGCTCAAAAAGACATTTACAAGAACTTTTTCAGCATTATTACTCGTGATAGCTAAACACTAGACACTACTCAAATACTCATGAATGAATACATTGTGGTTAACTCACACAACAGACTGCCATAGCAACACAAATGCACAAACTATAGGTATAAGCAAAAACCTGGATGAATCTCACAAACATATGTTGAGCCAAGAAAGACAGATACAAAAGAGTACACACTGTGTGAGTCCTTTACATAAAGTACAAAATTTGGCAAAAGTAATCTATGCGGTTAGAAGTCAGAATTTGGAGGCTGTTTCTTGTTCTGGTTGCTGATAACATAGATGTGTTCAATTTGTTGACAATTCTTCTAATTGTGTATTTTTTCTTGTGTATATAATAAAAAGTTAAAAATATACAACTAGCCCTGACCGGTTTGGCTCAGTGGATAGAGCATTGAGCCATGGACTGAAAGGTCCCAGGTTCGATTCCTGTCGAGGGCATGTACCTTGGTTGCAGGCTCGATCCTCAGTAGGGGGCGTGCAGGAAGCAACTGATCAATATTTCTCTCTCATCGACATTTCTCTCTATCCCTCTCCCTTCTTCTCTGTAAAAAAATCAATAAAATTAAAAAAAAAAACAACTAAATACATAAAAGAAAAACTGAAAAATACAGAGATTTTAAAAGCAGCCATCCTGGCTCTTGTGGCTCAATGATTGGGCATCAACCTATGAACCCGGAGGTCATGGTTCGATTCCCAGTCAGGGCATATGCAGGTTCCATCCCCAGCGTGGGGGCGTGCAAAAGGCATCCGATCAATGATTCTCTCATCATTGATGTTTCTATGTTTTTTAAAAAATATACTTTTATTGATTTTAGAGAGGAAGGGAGAGGGAGAGGGAATAGAAGCATCAATGATGAGAATCATTGATAAATTGCCTCCTGCCTGCCCCTCACTAGGGATTGAGCCCACAACTCATGCATGTGCCCTTGACTGGAATCGAACCCAGGACCCTTCAGTCTGCAGGCCGACTGAGCCAAACCAGCCAGGGCTGATGTTTCTATCTTTGTCTCCCTCTCTAAAATCAATTTAAAAAAATATTATTAACAATAAAAGCAGCCAGAGGACTTAACTCAGATAACCTACCATAGTAGGCAGAATAACGGACTCTAAAAGATGTCCATGTCCTAGTCCCTAGAACCTGTGACTGTTGTACTACATGGCAAAGAGGAACTAATGTTTGCTAATTAGCTGACTTAGGGAGAGTAGCCTGAGAGATCCAGGTGGGCCCAATGTAATCACAGGGTCCTTAAATGTGGAAGAGGGAAGCATAAGAGTCAGTGTAGGCCCTGGCCGGTGTTCTCAGTGGTTAGAGCATTGCCCCACGTACCAGAGGGTCAGAGGTTCCACTCCCAGTCAGGGACATGTGCCTGGGTTGCAGGTTCGATCCCCGGTCCCACTTCGGGGGTGTGCAGAAA